GATTCCGATCTTACAGGATCTTTAGCAATTGTCAGTGAGTCATCATTTTCTCCTGGTCAGTTGATTATTTGCTCTTGGCTGTTATCTTAATCCAAGAAATATACTCTGCAATACATGCCTTCTAGTCTGTGACTGTAGCCAGTGCCTGAAACATGTGTGAGAGCAAACAGAGAGAATTTCCTTCCTGTGAAAAGCGCTTGACCTGCGCTCTCCACCCCCTGATAGCACAATCAAGTTCAGAAGCTTGTCATGCGACAGAGCATATTGCACTTTTAGTTTTATGGTAATATTGAATTTTCAACCAGGTCAATACGGTTAAAAATTGCTGTAAATACTGTGTAGAAATATGTATCTGTCAGTTTTGTCCTCTTCCAGCAATGCAAAAATATTATGCGCTTTTGTTTTTTGTATCATTTTGTGCAACTAATCCTCTAAAATAGGTGGAGCAGCAGCTACTCTCTCTCGATCAGCTCTTTTGTTATTGCCTAATTATCCTCCAGATTCAGCGGTTGTATGTACTATATTTTATTCTTGATGAGGCAATTAGAGCCCTCTTAGACTATTACATAGTTAACCTTCATTGTCCCTTTGTTCCTAAAAACTCATAGACAGTGTTATGAACAGTGAACAAGGTCCGAATAGTAACGAGGTGTGCAATGCATTCAGTGATGGTTGTGAAGTATGGAACTCATGGACTGTTTGATGAGTTTGTAATAATAATAATATTTCTTGCATTTGATATAGGACCTTATCACATCACTGAGACATCTCAAAGCCTTCACAGAATATATTGTAAAGTGAACTGTGGACGAAACACAGTAGTCAATTGCGCACAGCAGTGTCCCACAAATGATCGTGGATTGAATCGCCAAATTCTTTATTCAGAGGGATAATAATCCACGGAAAGTGATCCCCTAATTGACAAAGCAACCGGGTTCCTACTTACTACTAGGTAAACAGAGCCATGTAGAGAAGGGAAACTTGCTTAAGGTTTTGCCCTGCCCGGGAATCGAACCTGGGTCATCTAGCATGCGAGGCGAACATGCTCATCACTTTACTATGGGACTGCATTCTGTGTAGAAGTAATAGAGTGGGACTTCAGCAGAATTTTAGAATTGGTTTTGTGTGTTATGCGTAAATTGGCTGCCATGTGTGTTTACAAAAAAATATACAGTCACTACACATTGTGGTGTATCCTATGAGCACTTTGAGACCGCCTTCTGGTATGAAACGTGTTATATCAAATGCAATAATTATTATTCTCAAAAGGTGCAGGTATTAGCGAAGGAATTAACGTTCCTACTTATGGGATATTTAGTGTAAAAATAAAATCACTAAATTGTTTCTGGTTTGAAAGTGACCACACTATTTGCATAATTGCCATTTTCGGGTATAGCCGCATACTCCAATCCAGATGAGTTCAGATTTTTCGACCGTTAGTCAGATGCAGAGCCATGACAAGGAGAGTCTGGAAGCTGTGCTGCAGAGATGGAGGCTGACAAATCTATAAGTCAATCTCCACAGCATGATTTTGAAATGGGTGGGGAATGGGTAAGCAAGGTAATAAATGTTATGAATTCCTCCAATTAATCTATCATCCAGCTGTTACTTTGGTTTCTCAAATGAATGGTACCTCATGATGATGTAATATTTGAGGAGAGCAGAGATTGATTGTGTAATATTTCTTCTTCTAAAAATAAATGTTTGCTTCCAAGGTTTGCTACAATATCATTTAGAAAATTATTCAGTGACGACAAGCACTATCGGCTCTTAGTCTCCAGGCCAATTGGACTGACTTGAGTAGATAGATGTACTGTAAAGTTATGCTTTTTCAGATGAATGCAGCAGCCAATTTGCACTCAGCAATGAGTTGAGTGACCAATTTTATCTGGAGGATTGTTGGTATGGACACTTGGAGAAACTCTCTTCTTTGTTCAAATGGTGCCATGGGATCTTTAATATTCACCTGAACTGGCAGATAGTACCTCGGTTTAACTTCTCATCCAAAGGTCAGCACCTATGACAATACAACCCACCCCAGAACTGCACTGGAGTATCAGCCTAACCTGTGAGTTCAAAGTCCTGTTGTGGGGCTTGAACCCACAACCTTCTGAATTAGAGGTGAGAATTCTTTCACCTAAGCCAGGCTGACACTTGATCCTGACTGGTTGAGATGGGCAGACGGAGGGGGGGAAACAGAGTCTGTCTTGTATATCTTGACAATACCCATGAGACATAACCCCATCACAAGTGAAGCTTGGCTTTCACTTTGATCTGAGCACATACCAGAAAATCTCTATCCCCTTTATGGTAACCCTGTTGACATTGGCCACAGACCACCACAGAGAGTGAAACACACCAACAGACTGAAGCCAAAAACGTAAGAAAGTCTGGAACAAGATGTTTTCATGAACTTTGCAGTTTCTATCCCATCATTGCCTTCACCCATCACTCTGTCCCAAGGAAAAGCTATGGATGGATGTTCCTTAAAATACAAATTTTATATTTAAACAAAACCACTAGAACATTTATCCATTCTACAATTGAAACCTGACTTGATTCCCTCCCCCAGCTCCAGCAACATAAAAATGTGCCCCATGAAGTATTTATTCATTGCATTCTATACTTGTATCGTCTAATAATGTTTTTAAACAAATGTTTCTATACTTAATCTTTAAAGGATTTAAACAAAACATCATTAGCTACTTTTGTTGGGAATCTTTTCTACAAATCTATATCTAATATGCAGTCCCACTTGAGGATTTCATTTTAAACCTACACTCTTTAGTTTTAAAGTGTGGGTTAAATAGTCTGCTTTTCACGATCTCAGGCTCACCTACAAATCACATCATGCTCTTGCACTACTTTACCTTTTCACACACAATCCTCTATCCTTCTTTCCTCAGCTGTTCGGGTCTTTTGCGCATCTCCCAACTCCTCCACTTCAACATTGCAGCTGTGCCTTCAGCCTCAAACGCTAGAACTCCACCATGCCCATCTCTGTCTATCTTCAAATAGCACCTGAAGTCTTTCCTTTTTGACTGTGTCTACAGTCACCTTCCTTTGCTCCCCGATCGTCATCAAACCCCGCCGTTACTTAACCTTTCCAGGACACTATCCTGCATGAAAGTGCTATAAAAATGCAATTTGTTGTTGCTTACATCGGCAACAAATGTATGTTTTGTGATTAATAATAATCCTTGCATTTGGTATAGTGCCTTTCACATTGTGAGGATGTCTCAGAGCTATTCACAGGGCATACTGTAAGGTTTTGGAGGTAGGAGTGCGAAACGGTTGTGGGATGCACAGAAGTCCTGAACCGGACAAGCAAAAGGGTCAGGTATGGCAGTGGGTGTGAGTGACTGTGTGTTTGGTGAGTAAACATCACAGACAATTTGCTAACAACAATGCCATACAAGTGAATGACTAATTTTATTTTGGCCAGGACAGCAAAGAAACTCCCTTCTCTTTTTGAATTGTTCCATGGGATAGAGTCAACCTAAACAGACAGAAAGGACCTTGGTTTAAAGTCTTATTCCCTGCACTGCATTGAAGTGTTAGATGAGACTAAATGAGTTCCAAGTCCCAACATGGAGCTTGAACTTGCAACCTTCTGACTCAGAGGCAAGAGTGCTACCAACTGAGCCAGATTGGCAAAGTTAGTTTACAGAACTGTATGATGTCTCCCCCTAATCTTTTTTTTTCCGTGGGAATAAGTTAAACTCTATGAACCTCTTCTCATAACATAGATCTCTGAGTCTTGTGCTGATTTTAAGCTGGCTGGTAGAAAATGCCATATACAGTAGAGTTCTGTTATAACACAGTGGCCAGAGGTCCATAAAATCCAAACCTGCATCATAAACAGGGCCGTGATAACTGGTTTTGTTTCACATGTACACAGACAATCGATTTGCTTCCCCTGTACTGGCTGACTCCCATGAGCTAAAAAGTGGCGAGTTATGAGGTTGATGCCAATGTCACTTCCCATGTGCCATGTATACGCAAAGCATAGGAAGTGACATTGATGGGAACCTGGAAGTTAATTAGTTTTAGTCAGAATGGCTGACTTTCAGGTCATTAAGTCGCCATTGATATCATTGCTTGTGCGTAGAGTTGGTGCTGACCTAGTGACACAGAAGCCAATTTTAGTGTGGGACTTAAAATCAACCAGCTGGCTGCAATGAATATACTTCACACAGTTCCCACTATAAACAAACCTATGTGATAACAAATAGCTTTGTAATGGGGTTGTAAGTTGTACTGTATATCGTCTGTTTAGACTGATCAGAAACTTTAGAGATGATTACTTATATTGTTAAAAAAACTGCAAATGAATCAATCTTGCAGTAAATCATTTCCATTTGCACTGTTTGTCCTTTATTCAAGTGTATGTCAAAATTCACGCAGCAAATGGGATCTGTTCCCCAGATACTGTATAACACAGAAGTGGTGAGCTGTGTACAGTGGTTTGACATGAGTGAGCTTGAAATTAGAGTTTTGGTTTTGAAAACCTCTCCAGATAATGATTATGATTACTGTACACTAGATTATGTTCTCTGAAGCCTCTGCCCACCAACCCAGGTCAGATCTGAGGACTATTACAGGATGTAGCCACAAGTTTAATTACATTAAGGTCCTTACCTTCAAATGCCATCATGGCTTTGCTTCACATTGCACCCACAAGGTGGAATTCTCTTCTGAAATCCCTCTGTCTTCCACCCACTCTACTGTCAAAACCTTTCTCTTTGTCTGTGCCTTCAGCCATCAAACTCTACCCCTCCTTCTCCCTCTTAGGTCGTGCTCCCATTCTATCTCTGTAAAGTGCTTTAAGATATTTTCCCTGTGGAAAGCACACTATATGAGCACTAATTGTTTTAGTTGTTTGTTGATCACATGTTGAATCTGGCAAAGAACTGGATCCACAGTAACCTTTCCACCGAGTGACCTCCAATGTTGAAGTGATGGCACCATGTACATTACTGCTTTCCCATTGTTTTCAGGAAGGAGAGAACATCTTTTATTTGGCCGTAGATGACATTGAAACAGACACAGAACTACTGATCGGTTACTTGGATAGCGATATGGAGGAAATAGAAGAGGAAGAAGAGGAAGAAATAGTCAACAAAGACGATGAAGAAAATTCCAAAGAGATACAGCCAGCTAGTGATAAAGGTACTGGACATGGGCTCTATCGTGAAAGTCGGCATTAAACTCAGTTGAGAGCTGAGGTTCTACAATCCCCTCTGCGTTAACCCATTTTTAGGATTTCCTTGTCATTTACAGTTGAATTCATTTCAACACTGACTGCAGTACCAGTGTGGTGCTACAAATTGCTTTGTTCTACCAAACATATGTTTAAGATTGCTTTGTTTTATAGTGTTCAAACTGTACCTCAACAACACAATAGCAAGTGCAGTTCCTGTGCCAGGAAAGCCTGAACTAATTGCAGTTGGGGCCCTGTGGATAAAGGAGGCAAACATTTATTTAAAAAGTGAAAGGCAGTAACTCAAGGTGACTGCGTTTCTACCGGTTTCAGTCAGCACCTTAAGTTACCTTTATTCAGTGGAACTTCATGGTAATGCATTTTCCTATAACATGCATTTTCTTACAGGTTTTGCATTCAGGAAGTAGCTTGACGACCCAGAGGTCAGTCATGATGTTTTGCTGTCTGGTATTTTGATGCACCGATGGAGCCAGCTGTCTTTCATGTGCAGTAATCGTGGAAGCATTAACTAGTGGTTGGGTCCTGTCAATGCTGGTCTACCACATTACAACAGAACACCACTGTAGTCAGTGCCCACTATTGGAGTGGTGCCAATCCTGTACATATTTTTTATAAATAGTATTTGCCAAGACAGTGCAATGAATTGTTAGATTTTCACTTATTCCCTTACAATGTGCCTGTCTTTTAAAACTGCTTGAGTAGGTTTACAGTCCACCTCCCAGAGAACTTATCATCTGTTTTCTGCCCATGTAGAAACTTTGAGTAGTAAAGAAGACTATGCTTGTCCCCATTGTGAGAGCAGTTTTCGAAGCCAGGAGATTCTGGCTGAACACCTGCAGACTCTACACCAGAAGCCAAGCGAAGAAAAAGAATTCAAGTGCAGAAACTGTGGGAAGAAATTCCCTGTGAAACAGGCTTTGCAGAGACAGTAAGTAGAGCATCAGAGATAATAACATGGTTGAGATGCCTGAAAGAGCTTTAAAGGTTTTACTGTGAAGTGTAGGTGAAACCAACAGCCAATTTGCACACAGCAATGTCTCACAGACAGCCATGAAGTGAGCCTCGAATTTTATCTTGGGAACTATTCACCAGCTCAAGTTTTCTGAGGGACAAAAGCAACTGAAATGATATTGGCCTAGCTCTATTTCAGATTTCCCCTTTACGTTGTTTTATAAATACTAAGTGTTAGACTGGGACCCTCATTTCCAGAAGAATTGAGGTATTTCTGTTTGCAGATATTATTGTGATGTGGGTAGACTCATCTGAGAATCTTGTGCACTTCAATCATCAATCTTCAACATCGGGCCACTCAGTAGGACATTTTAATGGTTTCCCCAAATACAATATTATGTCTTTGCACTGCTTGAGAGGGGACTTTGAACGTAAGTGTTCTGAGACACCATCCAGCATGGAGGACTCTATATAAATGCAAGTTGTTGTTGGAAAATACAAGGGGCATACACATTTGGAATGCCCAGTGTGGTTTGGATACTCTTAAGTATGCTCCTGGGTTCCACGTGTATCAGATGGTGACAAATTTGGCTAACCATGTAAAAATTATCTAATTTATACTTAGTGGTTGGAGAGTTTGTTTGAGTCCTTCAAAATTTCAGAAAGAGGTTGCAAGCATTCACTGTCAAAGAATTGTTGACTCAAGCAAAGTGCTCCATTTTTGTATTAAAACTGTTTATTGCCATCTACCGTAAAACTGTTTGCATCAATTTTGAGGATCAGAGGGGTATAGTGGAGGGATGGAGGTTGATGTGAACTGTACGGGCATAAGCTGGCTGGGCAAAATGGCCTGTTTCTGTACTGAAAACTCTATGTATTTCTATGTAGCTTCAGGTAAAATGGCTATACATAGATGGATTCTGCATCTCTGAATGGCACAGAATAGGATTGCAGTAATGGTTTGTGACTGTATAGTGAATTTTGCAGTCATATCACTCTGGCAGCTCCTCTAACAGAACACCAGTCTGATGGAGCTTGTTTCCTCATCATAATGAGACTGTTTGGTTGTAATGTACATCTCCTGAAGGAATGTGTCTGATAGCACATTGATTTTAACAGCAATTTGAGAAAACATGAGTATTTGAGTTTTGAAGCTGTTTTCTTTTGAATGAGATTTTCTGTTTGTTGAAGATAACTGCAGCACACAATAAAATACTGGGATTAATACCTTCATTCCACAATAAATAAATTAGTTTTATTTCTTTTTCAATCAATTTATTGTTGAATTAATTCTAGCTGCAGGGTCTTTCGTACAACACTGCCTTCATCTGCCTCAAAGGAGTAGATGTGCTAACACAGACCAAGGGAATCTTGTGCAGTCAATAACATTAGGATCAGTGGAATTGGACTATTTATTCAGACCGTTGTGATCGCTTTTAATAGCTTTTCAATTGTACCCTCAGACAGATGTTATTTGATGCATAAAATATGTGCTCAATAACCTTGCAAATATATTTTTTAAAACAACTATAAAATTATATCGAAACCATGTTAGCACTGCAATTCAGCAAGCCTTGCTTGCTCTGTAGAGCTCACTGTACTAAAATAAATGCCAGAAAAAGAGTTTAAAGCTTAAATCCAATTTCAGGTTATGGAAAATGGGATGAATTTTGCAGTATTTCTTAAAGGATTTTTAAAAAAACTGTCTTCAGAAATATCACTAAACAGCCATCAATATAGTTATACCCCTATTGTTTAAAGTTATGAATTATCTGAACCCCTTCTTTGCTAGCAGCCTTGTGACCTCCTTGCAAATCTGCACTCATTTCTTTATAAAATATGTATGCGGGTAAGTACAAATGGTTTGCTCAACCTCACTTTGAAGCAGATCATTGAGTGGCATTCTTTGATTATTAGATGTTTCAAGCCATTTATCGTCAGTGTTCCACATCCTTCTCAGGGGGCATCTCAGCAGCCATCTGGATGCTTCAATTGGCGTCTCATAAAACCTCCTGTAGGATACATAACTGTAAAATACTAGGCTGGAATGACAGGCAGGTATTTGACATACAGGCTGACAGCTCTGACGTTGCTTAAACATATTGGCCATTTCATGGCTCAGTAGCAAAGAAAGTTGGGACTGAGGCCAAACTTTCACAGAGCCAGATCCCCTACCTACAACCCTTATCTGTGTGAAGGATTTAAGAGATTTGATGCTATTGAAAGGGACGGTATAACCCGGCGGGGGGGAGATAATGTGCCCATTAAGGCGAGGTGAGAAATATCAGATAGTACATTTTGTCATTTTCTGGAACAACATTTTCCATCACATAAATCTTCCCTCCTCCAATTCTCTTCTCTCTCCTGAAGACATCCTTGACTACCTTTCTTTTCTACTGAGAGACGGCTCCATGGGGAATAAGCATCCACTGCTACGTCGCTCAAATGTCTGTTAGATTGAGTATTCCCCTTTAAAGGTAATCTGGAGTACAGGTGTAGATGGTTACCTTCCTGTAACTCATTCAGTGATCAGATCTCATGTCTCCATCTGGACAGTAGTGTCACTGGGCACTTGTCACAGTCTGCAAGTGTAGGTCTATACCATTCTCCTTCATCTCTTTCAAATGTTTTCTTGGAATTTTGTTCATATATTTTGTTCTTAGTCATAATGATATCTCTGTTCATAGTCAGTGAGTCTAGGTCTGTGGCTTTCTCTTTCTCTTTATCTCAAATAGTTTTCTTTAAAATTGTTGGTATTTTTGTTGGAAGATTTCACGTTGAGGCAAATTTACTTTGATAAAGTGGTATTGTGGACTGATGTGATGTGAACTATTGCCATAAAGCTGCTGTTCTGCTGTATTTTATAGCAGCAATGCTGTATGTAGCTCCTGTAAGGAGTCCTGTAGCTCAGTAGTTAGAGCCTTTGTCATATTAGAGCACTCACCTCGCACGTGAGAGACCTGAGTTCGATTCCCAGCAGGGCGAAACCTTGGGCAAGTTTCCTTACTCCACGCACCTGATGATAATCCCTCAAGAAAAAAANCAACAATAAATTGTTCACTTCAATCCACGACTGTTTGTGGGACACTGCTGTGTGCAATTGGTTGCCGCGTTTCGCCCACAAAAATACAGTCAGTTCACTTTACAATATACTCTGTGAAGTGCTTTGAGATGTCTAGAAGACGTGAAAAGTGCTATATTAAATGCAAGGATTATTATTGCATGTGTACTGGCTGCACCAAACTGCAATGGCTAAAGTTTTCTGTTGAATTCATAATTTAATCTCAATTTTATATTTTCATATTATACGAGCTCAAATATAGCAAAACTAGAGTCTTAGAGTTTTTCAGTCGAGAAGGAAGCCATTTGTCCCATTATGCCTACGACAGCTCTCTGCAACAGAATACTAAACTATATCCTCTCCTCTATATTTGAAATTAATGTTATGAGTTTATTTTCTCAGTCCTATTTAATCGCAAGCTTTGCGTTTTTAGCTGATTAAGCTCCAGCAGTACCCCAAATCACACTCTGAAGTCCACAAGTCTTGGCTGTAACTAGGCTGTGCCTAATAATCTCCGGAATTCCACTTCAATACACAAGGACATTTCTATGTGAAGGTGGGACTTTGTTTGGTTGGAAACTCTTAAGCATGGCGATGGGTTTCCGCGTGTGTCAGACACTCAACTGACTAAAAAAAATCCCATTTAATAATAATGATTCTTACATCTGGTATAGCATCTTCCAAGTTATAATAGCTTCTGGAACTCCATGCCTCTTTTTCACTGCCTCTATCTGTCTTTAAATCCCGACTTGAAACCTATCTCTTTGACGGTGTTTATGGTCATCTCCCCCTTCTCCCTTGCTTTGGGTCCAGATCCCTCCACTATGAAGCACACCGAGACCTTAACCGAAATGAAAGGTACTATGTAAATGCAAGTAGTTGTTCTTACACTCTAAATTCAGGCTGCAGCAATTGCAGTAGTTTGTTATCCTTTTGTTCTACTGTTGAAGACAGAAAGTTACTTATTTCTGAAAGCCCACGTCTCAAGTGAAAGAAATGCAGTTGGTAGCTGCTCTGAATACCAAAGATATTCAGTGAGTGACCCCAGCACAGAAACTCGTGTGCATTGAACCTATGGATAGGTTTTTGACAGCTGAATTTTTTTTATTGTTCAGTGTCTCACTGAAAGCATAATCCTATTACTTATGTTGTGAAAGTGCATCCAACCACCTTGGTGCCAAGACATTTTAAAGGCCGTAACTGATGTGATCCAGTGAGGTGCTTGGACATAGCTTGGTGTCATCGTAGGTGTCTTCACAGCCATGGTATTTGATGAGTTTGTTTCACTTACTCTGACACCTATATTCATGGAATGATAACACGATCATGCCCCCTCCCATGTATTATGTGCATGTTATTGTGCTTTGAAATGCTTCCAGAATGGAAGCCCAGATCATCAAGTAACAAATTGACATTGGTGCAATATTGATTGTATTTTCACAAATTTCCTTCAGACACACAAAAAAACCTTGCTGTAGAAATGCCACTGCAATAGTGAAAATCATGATCTGATTTTTCCTAAATGTTTTTGGATACCTAGATTTGATTTAATACACATGTGGTTGTACCGATTGGCACGCCAAGATGCTACCCCAGATGAAGGGCGCTATATAAATGCAAGTTATTGTTGTCTTTGGATATTTTTTAATAATTAATATTTTGTACTTGTTCTATTTTTAATCTAGTGTTCTACAGTGCACAGAAAATGTTATTCCTGGAGACCCTTCGCAAAGTTATCAATGTGCAGTCTGCAGTACCTCCTTCAGCTCCGAGTCAAGGTTTTGTACACTGTTGCCCATTTTGTAGTCTTTTTTCCCCTTGCTTCTGGCTGCATTGCTTGTTTCAAACCTGGCAGTTTGCATTCAGTTTAAAACAAAATAGTAAATTATTACTTTCTGCTTCTTCTGTCTCAGTTGGGCAAAGCATGGTGAACTCGGAGATTAGGCTGTGTGGCATGTATTAAACCAAGTCTGCATGCAGAATGGTGCTACGTTTTGTATTTCATTGTGGCTCTTACCGACTGTCTACTGCAGTTTTGAGCAGCATAAAGAAGCCTGCAAAGGGGATGCCAGGTTTGTTTGCAAGGCTGACAGCTGCGGGAAAAGGTTCAAGAGCAAAGATGCCCTGAAGAAACACAAAGAAAATGTACACACAGGTAAGACCGCGAAGCAAAGAATTCCCTGCTTGCAATGAATTAAAGGAGCATTGTCATAATTGTTCACATTGTAAAACTCGACAACAGAATTTGGGATGTTCTTTTAATTCTTCATTAAGCAAATGTATTATCATATATTTAAAACATTCATCATTGAAATCTGATGGAATATTTGTTCTCAGAGGGAAATTAACCAGGAATTGTTGCCAGGGAGGGTGGTTAAGGCCAGGACATTGAACTCATTCAAAAGGCAGCTTAGTGTTATGATGGGAGGATGGGAGGGTGAGAATTCTCAAGGAATGAGATCAGATGGGTTGAAGGGCCTTCTTCAACCGAACTGATCTTATGAGTATCTGAAACTCATATCCTACCTCTGACAAGTGAGAAAGCTTGTGCTCCAACTGTGATGTCTTTGTTTGTTCCAGATTTGATTTTATATGATAATAATAATCCTTGCACTTGATATAGGGCCTTATTATGTCTTTGAGACATCTCAAAGCGTTTCACATAATACATCGTAACGTGAATTGACTGTAAATTTTGTGGGCGAAACGTGGCAGCCAATTGCATACAGCGGTGTCTCACAAACTGTCGTGGATTGAATGACCACATTATTATTATTGTTTTAGATTGCGGAAGCAGCAGGTTCTATAATAATTATACTTACATTTGATACAGCACTTTATCACATCATCAAAACCTCTCAAAGCATTTCCCAGGATTTACTGTGAAGTGTAGTGACTGCATTTGTAGGCAAACATGTTATTATTCTGGAAAACAGCAGCGTGGTTAATCTGAAAGTGAAAGTTGAGCTGGAAATGATCTGCTTTATTAGCAGCTGCTGAGGAGAATAGCTGAGCACTAAACATTACAGAACACAGTTTCACTGTCACTATCCGACCTGCAGAAGAATGCATAGGATGGACTTTGAGAATAATGAATTTCTGACGAGAACTGAGCAATATAACTCTGTTATAAACAGCCCTGAAAGATTAGTCAATGCAAAGCATCCTGCCGCATAGCAATGGAGAGCAACTGGTGCAACACCAAAAACAATCCTTAACTTTTCTGCCGATTCTCTTGTGTTCTCAATTTTCATTCCTTTGCTTTGTTTAGCCCGCAAAATAGACAGTGAATCCACTTTACAGTATATTCTGAGAAACGCTTTGAGACTTCTCAACGACATGATGAAGCGCTATTTCAAATGCAAGGATAATTATTATCATTGATAAATGCTCTCCTGCTTTCTTCAATTAAAAAGCATCTTGGTAGAAATTCCTAAAAGCTTGGCACCAGCATCTTCATCAAATTAACTTCTGAAAGGCTATCCAGAGAGGTCTGCTCAGAATATTTAGAAAACAAAAGGAAATGACTTTAAAATAGGAGCAACCTTGTTTAGGATTTTGATATAGGAAAAGGCAGATACAATTACGTGGAAGGAATTAGTTTAAATGGATATCTGGCTCCAGGGGCTCAGGGTGAGTCAAGGATCCCAAGTGGAAATCCCAGACTAGCTTGAATTGTGCTGATTCTGATCTGCAATGTGTCTGTGAAGTATTTCAGTGACATTACTAAGGCGAAACCCATCCACAATCCTCCCACCGTTATACAAACAGTTAAACATTTTGCCTACACAGGGACAACACAGTCGCAACACTTTATAATAAACTATGTGAAAGTGCTTTGAGACTTCCTATTGAAGCAAAAGGTACTGATCAAATACAAGGATTATTTTATGATCAAAAGACACTAAGCTCTAAAATCACTGTTATTTCGTGAACAAAATATACAGTCGATTCACTTTGATGTATATTCTGTGAAACACCTTGAGACGTCTCAAAGATGTGATAAGGGGCTATATCAAATGCAAGGATTATTATTATTATTTAGTGATTACATTTGGGAAAATGTGGTAGATATTTAGAATGAGTCTCAATTGTGAACATCTATATACAGTGAGTCCAGTCAAATATCATTGTGAGGCGGCATGCTAGCTTACTTGATCTTTTTGGGGGAGAAAATCCAGTTTTAACCAGTTTTGACTCCAAATGTGCTTTTTAGTTATCCCGCTTGTGCTTCTGAATAGTAATTGTGCTCAGAGGGCACATGGCTTGTTACATGTTAAAATTGTCATTTGTACAGGTGCTACTGAGTGAAATTGCAGGCGAATGATGAATGATTTTCATTTGTATCTGTTCCAGTGGTCGTGGTTTGATGGATTGTGCAGACGCTCTTGGATGATCTGGGGGGCGGGGTTTGTGCTTCTCTCCGGGCTGTTCTAAGTAGTGAGAGCATTCACCTAAACCTTTACCACGTGGTGTGGGCGTAATAGAACGTGGCTGGACTTTAGTCATGAGATTATTCATGGAGTCTGTGTGTACTTGATCCATGGGGTCAGGAGATAGGCAGGATCCCTAGCAGTATAGTAATGGAGTTGTTTGTACTTTTTTTTGTGATCTCTCTGGATTGTTACCATCTCTTTGGTTCCTGGTGATCTGTTTGTTGAGGATATCTATCTATATAACAATAATAATAATAATAATAATAATCCTTGCATTTGATATAGCTTTTTATCATGTCTTTGAGACGTCTCAAGGTACTTCACAGAATATACTGTAAAGTGAATTGACTGTATTTTGTGGGCGAAACGCGGAAGCCAATTGTCGTGGATTGAGTGACCAAATTATTATTATTATTATTTATTTTCAATCCCTAATGGCGGGGAGTAAGGGAGGGGTGGGGGGGGTGGAAATGCTAACAGATTTTGGTATCTAATGCCTTAAAATGAGGGTGACTCTTCTCCCCATTTGGCATATTATCAGAGTCCTTTCTGGTCTTAGGGACATATGTTTTAATCAAGCTTGGTGGATTTGAAGTTCAAAACTGGCTTTGGAAGCCATAATTTGAAAATCTGACCTCTGAATTATTCAATAGCTTGTTTCTAATAGTCGATGGAAGTACTGAGCAGTGTGTATTGTTCTTGTAAATTAAAATGGTGTGGATCAAGGCTGTGAAGGCTATGTCTGGTCTCCTCACAGAGCAGAATCAGTAATGTATTGATTGAATTCAAGTTGGATTCACAAAAGGAACCAAAAGGGAAGCTGCCTTCTGGTGTTCCAGGTTTTTAATATTTTTTTTATTGAACAAAATCTATAAATAATTTGAAATGCACAGTTACATAACTTGCCTACTACAGTAATTTAGAACTAGGACGGTTAGAAGTGAGATCAGAAAACATTGTGGGTCAATCTGGTTCAGTTGGTAGCAATCTCTCCTCTGAGTCAAACGGTTTGGATTTAAGTCCACATCAGGATTTGGAACTTGTACAGTTTAGGCCAGTGCCGACCAACGTTTCCGGTCCGAGGGGCCGTCAAGAAGCAGCCCCCAAGCATTCGCATTAGTTGAAGTAAGTCTGTGTTCGATTGGGTAGTATATTTCCAGGTTTTTCTTGATTGAATATTTCTTGATTTATGGCATAAACCTTTTTGGTTGGCCAACTGCATAAATCAAGACATATTCAATCAAGAAAAAAATATTTTGTTAGCCAACCAAAGGCATCAGATGCTCCACTTGCTGTAACCTGAAGTATCGACAACCTCCTTTCTTCCCCACTGAAATCAAGTGAAAGCCACAAATAGGTAAATTGTTTGGTCTCCATGGATGGAGAGAAAGCTGCAGAGATGGAGATGTTTGGTCTGATCCTGGCTCCATTGACATGGGAAAGATTGAGTGTTTTCATTTCTGTCTACAGAGTTCACCGGAAATCCCCAATAAACACCCATTTGTTCTCAGGTCTGAGTATCCTCACATTTCACAGCAACTTTGAAACATTTCAAGCTCCAATTTGTTCATGAGCACCTATCGATCTCAAAACAAAGCATACAAAGAAAATCAGAAAAGGTCGCCACTAGGAGAAGCTACTGTATATTACATATATAATATACACGGAAGCACCAAACAGATGCTCATTTGTCCTTGAACTGAAAGCAGGTCTTGATACTTAGCTGAACGGTCCATCACTCCTTGAACCAGTTGAGAACAGGAAGCAAAGTACATCTGGTAACCAACCTTTGACCTGTGGTGTAATGTTTTGGTATAGGTGTCATGATTAATTGCCATAGCTGAACACAGCAGATCTAATAGATGAATATCATTCCTTTATTGAAGGGATTTTTTTGAAAAATGCATTTGATGTCCTATAGTCTTCAAACTAAATCAATGCATAGGTCATCTTAACAAAGTCCTTTCTTCAGTCAGTACTCCTTTCTTCAGTCAGTACTCCTTTTCTTTGGCTAGTTAGTAACATTTAGTAATATAATAATTGCTTACATTTGATATAGCACTTTAACACGTCGTCGAGAAGTCTCAAAATGCTTCACAAGATATACTATTAAGTGTCGTGACTGTGTATAATGTATGCGAACACGATTACCATTTTGCTCACAGCAGTGTGTGGCAATGTATATAAAGCGTGACATAAACTCGTGGGCATGGACAAGCAGAGTAAGCTTTAGAGAGGCATCTCAGATGTCCAGCCAATAGTCATGGGGTCAATTATGAGAGTTGTTCGAAATGCGTGTAAACACTTGTACAAGGCAAATACAAGTGCAATTTAATTATGGAATTAACAGCCAATAAAAATAATTCTTAATTCTATCTTCTGAACAATTTTATTTATTTGACATAGTTTTATTTCCAAAATTAATGGTAGTTTCACCTTTTGCTCATCTTTGATGTGAGCCAGTTGCTCTCTGGTAGCTGGTGTTTTTGAAACACCAGCCTGAACTATTCAAAGTAGAGATTCCTCTCTCACAGTGAATCAATCTTTTAAGTACTGCAGTGATTCCAAACAGCAGTTCCTGCACTGCCGCCTATTTGATGAAACGTAAAGAAGCAATAGATTTGGACCGGGCAATAGATTTGCAACATTTAGTGTCTTTTTCAATTTATTCGTTAGTCATTGCCATAAATTAACAGAAAAATCTAATGCTTTTGCCACTATGGATTGTGGAACCAATGCATGATTTTCAGCTGCTTTACTTTTCAAAAGTCTTTAGCCTGAAATCCTCAGAAACCCTATACCTTCTGAGTAAGGTAAAGCCGCAGACATTCAATGTCTGTCAAGTAGACCCCTGGATGCTAATATCTCAGCATATGTGTTTTGGGGCCTTTCTTGTGCTTCCTGATTAAAAATGTGTTGGTGTTTCTTTTTTGGCTGCAGGAAACTCTCGGAGGCGGCTGATGTGCTCCGTGTGCAATAAGAAGTGCTCGTCGGCTGCAAACCTACAGGAGCATCGAAAGGTCAGGCAGCCCAGCCCTCTCTCCAGCTCTCGCACAGCAGGCTGTGTTTGTGTTCGGGTGTTAGGTCACTCAAGTGGCTCTTTAGCCTTTTGCTAAAGGCTTCAGATATCTCTTAATTAACCTTAGTACGAGCTCTAACCACTTTAATGAATAGAAAGTGTTACTCGATTGACTAATAAGTGCATTGAGTTGGATTTGTTAATCCTCATTGTGGTCAGATTACCTCCTCTAGCCTAAAATCTGAAGTTTCCAATGCTATCTGCTTTCTTTTTATCCCCTTTGTGATGCATGCATATAATTCAATCTGTATACTGATGAACTGATGTTGTTTGTTGTACAGACATTATTTGAATATGGTTCTATATTGTCCCAACAAATCAGCAGGAGAATTTTGAGTATAAATTAGACATTAAAGGAATGATTTGTGGTAAGGCATTCTCTAATCTAACATCCCTCTGTGTGAAACATTTATTTTCATACATTTTCCTTTTTATCCTCTGGGATAATCTCAATTGATAGCCTTTTGTGATCATCTCACCGATCAATGGAAAAGCTTTTCTGTTCTGTATTTTCCAGCTGTTGCTGTGCACAGCCTCACTGCTGTGTGTACAGCGCTGAGTGCCTCCCTTGTAATGTCCACAATAACTGCAGGGATTGAATCAATGACAACATCATAAATGATCAGATGCCTGTTAGGCAGTCCCTTTCCAGTACTTAAATAAAGGTGTGATTGGATGAGAAAACAAATCTCTCCACTGGAACAGCTAAACTGCTGCATGTTTCAGTTCATCTATCTGGAAAAACATTAGTGAGCATACCTGGGGGCAGTGAGAGTGAGCCTGAAACCAGCTCTAGAGATGGGATGTAAAAAATAGGACTGGACATAGTAGTAACAACCTATGGTGGCAATAGTGGTGCTTGGGTTATAACATAGAGCTTCTGTTGGCAGAAATGCTGCAATATACACCTGGCAGTAAATGCAACTGAGAATACATCAGCATCCCTTGAGCTTCATATTCAAGTGCCCCCACCACCCTCCCCAAACATATGCCTTTGCTATGATTTAATCTAAAACAGACTGTAATATTTACAATGGTTGCATGGTGGCCAGTACCTGTGAATCTGTCAAACAGTAGAAGGAAAAGGTGTTGGGTGACTTCAGGAAAGGAGATGGAGAATGGGGAAATATTCACCTACAAAATACAGCTCGACACTTTGCAGTATATCCTGTGAAGTACTTTGAGATGTCCTTCCGACGTGAAAGGCACTATATTTAAATGAAAGGAATATACATTGGTGGGAAAAATTACAATTAAAATTAATCAATTGGCTTCTTTAATACTTATTAATTCTAAATATGTTTCAAACTCGAACAGAATCAGTTTCTCAGCAATGTGTATGGTTTTAAGTAAATTATTTTAAAAAACTAACTCCAGACATTCCATACACTGAGAGAAAATACTACTGACATTTGCATTCCATTTTGAGCTACACCAGACAATCCTTTGTGCTTCATCATAAGAGAGGAATGATACTGACTTTATATTTGTCACTGTTGATGATGCTCATAAGTCATTAGTGGCTAAGTATGGGTCATCGTCATTGCAATATAAATAGACAACACAGGGATCTGATGTACAGTTAACACTGCAGATGGCACAACTATGACTGTTGTTTAAACAAGTGCTCCATTTGGCAGAGCTGGGGAGAGTGCTACAAAAGGCAGTGAGGGAAAGCAAGTGATGGGCACTTTGTAACTCTAATTTCAGCTATTAACTTCCTGCTGCGTTTCAGTCTGCCAGTGAAAGTCTAAATGATGGAATGGAAGGTTTAAAAACACCCAGTGCTCTGTTCTAGACTTAATGACTACCCTGGTGAGCTATCTGAGCTGTCTTGTTTGCCGAGCAAGAGAAATAAATAAATTACAATTATTTAACTGACATTTCTGTATGAACAGTTTCGAAGCAGTGCGGATGCAGTGTAAAATTATACATTGCCCTTTGTCAGTGACTGATGCAACGCAATAATATGATCGAATCAATGCATTAGCTGTATCCTGACCATCCATATTTTAGGGCAAATTGCCACTACATCAACAGATTTTTGCAATATTGAAGCTAAGTGCCAAATACAATTTAGAAATGATTAAAAGTTAATCCGGATCAAGATTACATTCGGTCACAGATATGGCATAGAGAGCTGATGCCTTTCTCTAGAGGCGATCGATGGTTCTAATGGACCGGAAGAGTAAATTATCTTTGGTCTCTATAGTCCTTTATGGTACATTGCCTGCAGGGTATATGATACAGTCAAATGACATTCAAGCATTTCTTCTTGTGTTGCACAGAATGTATTGGGGTGGTATTGTTGCTATCAGATTAGGTAATAAAATAATAATCCTTGCATTTGATTCAGTTTCACTTCGGAAGGATATTTCAAAAAGCTTTACAGGATTTGTACTGTAAAATGTAATGGTGGTGTATTTTGCTGCTGATTATGTCAGTCAATTTGCGCAGAGCAATGTCCCACAAACAGCCATGATGATCAAATCACACATTAAATGATCAAATTTATCTGTGAGATTGTTGCCCCAGAGAACCTTCTCTTTTTGAATACTATCATGGGATCTTTAACAACAACAACAACAAAATTATATTTATAGAGCACCTTTCACGTTGGGAGGACGTTCCAAAGTGCTGGAACAGTCAGGTGTCGGGGCCCGAGCATGGGGNAGGGCGGTGTAGGGATGAGGGAAGGCAGAGAGGTGGGAGGGAGACCAAAGGCACAGTCGAAGAGAAAGGTCTTGAGACCGGTCTTGAAGAAGGCAAGGGAGGAAGTGATGCGAAGGTACCGTGGGATGGAGTTCCAGAGTATGGGGGCAGAGAGGCTGAAAGCCCGGCCACCGATGGTAGGGGAGGTCGGGCGGGAGACATGGAGCAGGCCGGAGCCCGATGAACAGAGGGAGCGGGCAGGTTGGTAGGGAGTCAGCAGGTCAGAGAGGTAGGAGAGGGCAAGGCCATGGATGACCTTAAAGGTGAACTCGATCCTCTGGGGAATGGGGAGCCAGTGGAGTCGGGCGAGAGTGGGAGTGATGGGGTCACGAAGCCTGGTGTGTGAGAGTACACGAGCTGCAGAGTTTTGGATGATCTGCAGCTTGTGAAGGGAAGAGTTGGGAAGGCCAATGAGGAGGGAGTTCCCATAATAAGAACATTTAGAAAGAACCTTGGTGTAATGTTGCACTAAAGATTGCACCTCCATCAATGCAGTGAACCCTTAACACTGCAATGGAATATCAGTCTCGATTTTGAGTTCAAAATCCTAATGTGAGGCTTGAACCCATAATCTTCTGATTTAGAGGCAAGAGCATTACTATTGTGTCATACTGACAGCTGATGGTATGAAACACACTTTGTCTAAAATTGTAGCAAGGTAACATTTATTTTGGAAAAAAAATTTAAAAATCATTATGGGTGAGGAAGTTTTAATTGATTTTTGATTTTTGTTCCTGTTCTGTGTGCAGTCTTTTCTCATTCTCACTGTTGACAGCAATGTGTCGTTTGTGTACATTGAATATAATTCACAGGTATCTACTGTCATTAGCTGTGATTAAACAAGCTAAGGTTCTTCAGTTTTGAAAGAAGATGTCTCAGAGGGCACCTTTTAGAGGTGTATACAATTTGTAAAATAAATCCCCTATACCTTAGGAAAATAATCATTCTTGCATTTGATATATCACGCTATTGAGATGTCTCAAAGCACCTCAGTGGAGTCACATCACACTATCACAAATTGACATGACTGTGTATTTTGTGGGCGAACACGGCAGCCAATTAGCACATAGCACTGTCCACGCTTCTCCCTTCTCTTTTCAAATAGTGCTACGGGATATTTAATATCCACCCGGATAGGCAGACAGACCTAATAAATAAGGCTAACAGCAAACCATTAGGCTTCAAGTGTTGCTCCCCAGCGATTTAGTTAAAAACAATAACCTGGTGTACTACAGTACTTTGCAAATAATGCTACTATAATTCTAAAGGACAAAAGTTAACAAGAGATATGTCCTTCCACATGCATTGGGTTTGTACTTTGCATCAACACTGCTTGGGGCTCTTAATTCATTTAATTTAACTTAATTTATTCAGGGGGACATTTAAAAATCCCATAGCACTATTCAAAAAGAAAAAGCAAATTTCTTACTGTGTCGGGGCCAATATCTGCCCCTCACCCTTAAAATTTGTCGTTCACTTCATGGGTGTTCATGGGACTATACTGTGTACAAACTGGCAACCGCATTTGCCTACAGATATACAGTCACTATACTTTACAATAAATCTTGTGAACTCTTCGAGACACCTTGATGGCATGATAAGCCACTATATCAAAGGCAAGGATTATTATATTTCAATGATCACCTCTGTAATAGTTCTGAAGCACTGCATATGCAATATTTAAATTCAAGTTCATTTATAATATATAATTCTTTACTGATCCATAGTAAAAACAACAGAACTACTTTTCCTACCAATTTTCTCCTCACTCTTTATGTTAACCTTTTGCTTCTGCTGCTGCATAACGCCAATAGAGGCAGGTAGTGAACAGAACTCCATAACTTGGAGCCAACACTGCCCTACAGAAAGAACTGACCAATGGTGGTGGTTATAGGTGACATAGACATCAGTCATATTGTCCCTGTGTGTGATGGCCCTCTATGCATTAGACACCAAGTGTATGTATAATGGGACCGTTATATTTGCAGCAGACTGCTTGCAATTGCTCCTTGCTGTAACTCAAACCTATTGGGAAATTATGCTGTGAGGTGAGTCTTACCACAAGATAACTTTAAAAATGAAATGATTGTGTTTTATGAACACTGAGCATTGTGATGCTACAGATAAAGGTAGTGTAGTTACAGCATGATGTGCAAGACAAATCTCAATCAATACAGTACGCTGATTCTTAATTTGGTATGCAGTAGAGATTGGTAGTCAACTACGTAAAATCGGTCTGAAATTTTATTTGTTTAAACTGTACGGAGTCCTTTCAAACCTAAAGAGCAATCATTTAATAGAAGCTCATCATCAAAGACAAGTTTGTTTTTGGTTGCTTTTGAGAAACACTCAATAGGACACTATCAGCGAGGTGCTTATTTGTTCCATAAACAACCTCATGCAAGTATATTTTTAAATGAAACCAGTTGAGTGGGTAATGGCATCATCTGAGCCAGCGGAGAGCTACAGAATGGAAACCATCAGGGTGATTTACTGTGATGTGTTAGCAAAGTTTAGTCTGTCAGACATCCACAATAGTTTTTTTTGCAAGGATTCCCCATAGAAATTTCAGCACTTAAGGTGGAGTCAAGTTAAAATTGTTACTGTTAAATCAAAATCTGTTGAAGGGATTGTCTTATGGGCAAGGTTCCAACAAGCAAAACATCTAGATAGTGGAGTCAAAATGCATGCATCTGGGTTTAGAGTTCTTAACTATTGCACAGATCAACAAATGATTCATTAAAGACAGAAGTGTAATTCTGCCATGCAGGGAGATTAATTTGTTTTCCCTTTCTCTGTTCTCCAGATATATGTTGTATATAGCACTGAGGGTAATTGTTGTAACCTTACCATTGCTCTGGTTGTGATCATCTGATCATCTGAGATCATCAGAGACAAGAGATTGAACTTTGGCTAGTGTAGTTACACTTTAGTTCCTGGATAAACTCTGAAACCTCAAGGAACCCATGATTTGTTTTTGCTGAAACTGCCATTTGTTTGTAGATTGCAGCATTGTTTAGAGAGGTTTTGTCTTCTTTGTCTTTGCTTGGGAAGCACATTTCCCCATTGATTTGTGTTGAGGTATTTACAGGAAATTTTATGTAGAAAAAGAGATTTTCATACACCCTGTTATTTATTTTCTAAATTTACCTTACGGTGTATTATGTGTGTTCTCAATCCTTTTTGTTGGTTGTTAATTGCATAATTAAGGGCATCTGTAATTCCCTCTATGCACATGGTTTACAAAACTTGTATAATACATCCCAGTCTTCCACAAATAGTGATTTCATCACCAGCAAGATCATACATGTTTGGAAAAAAAATCAATTGGCTTATCTTAGGTTTTCAAGATTATTAAGAGGATTGATGCAAGCAAATTATTCCTTATAACAAAGAATTCTAATACCAAGGGACTCATAACAATATGGAAATTAATAGTGAGAAGGCAGAAGTATTTGACACAATCGATATTCTTGTATGATACATTACTGGCAAAGGCCATTGAAATGCATGGTATAAATGGTTTAAAGATTCAGCTAGACAGGTATGTTTCTGAAGAGAGAAAGGATTGAGGGACATTCAGGCAGGATTGAGAACTAACAGAAAAGGATTGTTTTTATGAATCTTGTATCTTTTCCCTGCTTTCTAAGGTTCTTTTATGTTCTTTGGCATTGACTCACTGTCTGTAGTATTGATTTTGCACCATGTGAAATACTGTTTCATGCTTTATTTAAATCATCTTAGGTTTCCGTAAGCAGTATTGTAGTTTTGATGTCATGGAAAACCAATGGTCTTGAAGTGTAATGTGCTATGACAGTTCAAAAAGTTAATCCGTGCTTGACTCATTGACCCCTAAACGTCCATTCTTTGCGATACTTTATCTCCTAGATCCATCTGTTGTAATGCTTTGTGCTTTCTGTTTTACAAAACAATTTCCATCCAAAGCATAGCATACATATATCTGAATGTATTGTGTTGCCATTATAAATGCATGCTGCGTTTCACCCAGAGAATACATAATCAATCCACTTTACTATATATCTTGTGAAGCGCTTTGAGACGTCTCGATAACGTAATGATACGTTATATCAAATGCAAGGATTATTATTATTAAAAGGTAAGAAGCCTTTTAATTGCAAAAAAGGCTTCTTACCTTATCTAATATTTGGATTAAAATCCACGTGATTATGAACACAGAAGTTATTGTAAAATACAGTAGGATGTTACTGTCATTATTTATCCTGCTTTTTTATTGTGCAAATGCGATCAAAAAAATATTTGCAGACATTTTAATTTTAGATATTTTAATCCAAAGAAGATTGTATCACTCACATAAACATTGAAGTAAAATTTCCTAGTAAATTCATAGTGGTTATTTTAGATTTATTTTACAGTTATTTCTCCCCCCCCTCCCCCTGATCCCAACTCTGAGCTCGGATCCAAATTCTAACTGTCCAATGCCTTGGGGCATCCTCCTGACATAGAAGGCACTATACACATGTAATTTGTTGTTATTTCAGTTTGCAGTCCTCTTCTTTTTCCTGTGCCTAAAACTCTCCAGGATTGGGTAATTGGGGTGCCGCCCTTCAGAGTTCCAGACACAGGGACATTTCCATGTGTAGGTGGCATACATATATGGAACTCAGTCTGGTTAAGCACAGCGATGGATTTTCACATGGGCTCAACACCTATTTGACCAAAAATTAACATTTTTCTGAATCTGTGTGGATCACAGATAGGATATTATAAAAAAAAACATTGTATCTCCTATGCACAAATTGTTAAACATTCCTGGCTTTGTACACTGGTCTGTGTTATACAATAATTCTAGCAAATCTCAGGATACAATTGAGAATGACAGAATGAAGTAATAAATATCATATCAAGTTCTGGTTAAGTGGCAATCTTGAACTTTCAGGTCAGCAAATCTCATGCAATCTGTTTAACTGCAATATTTTGAAACCTAATTATCTCAATATTGAATTATCTTTCTCATAGCCTTTATGAAAATATTTTTAAAACTCATAAATCCGATGCTCCTCTTCGCACATACGCATTTCTATTGTTGTACTTTTTCTTTTTAAACGTCAAGTTTTATTTTCATAGCCATACTTTAATATCTCATAAGAGATTATTGGCAAGGCAATTATTGTGCAATTGTGAATTTTAACTTGGCTTCAGGCAGGGAAGTCATTAAACTCTGAAAGCAAGCTCAGAAGATTTGATGTTTGATCTAGTACCTTCTTTGAATTCTCCTTCCATGTAATAATCGCTGTTTATTTTTTATGTTTCAAGGTTCATGAAGTCTTCGACTGCCAGGAGTGTGACAAAAAATTCATATCAGCAAACCAACTGAAGCGCCATATGATTACGCATTCAGGTAATATTTAACCTGGCTGAGCTAGTTGAGCCTTAGATAGCACCGTGCTTCACATTTAGTGGCTTGACCTGTGACCTGCTTTCCTAGTAATTAGGCCGCACAAAATAAAATGTTGCAGAGCTGCTTAAATGCTGTTAATCTGAAAAAGAGCTGATTTATGCTCGTGGTGTGATGCTATTTGACTTTGAAGTTTTTTTGTGTAAGCTAATGAAACGGAATTTGGCATTTGGAAGCGATGGTTGAGGATGTGTAAATTGCTCATGATATACTGAGAGCTTGTCTAACACGAAGCAATTTGATGCACATAATTCAAATGGCATGCAGCTGCCTGTCTAATTGGTTTAATCTTAATTGTGTCGACTTAATTGCGAGATTTTCTCAGCGGAGAGAGCCTTCCTTTCATCCTTTTTTTCCACAAAGTGATGATTTAATATCTGCTGCTCATTCTTGCAGAGAAACGCCCTTACACCTGTGAAGTCTGCAGCAAGTCTTTCAAGCGTCTTGATCAAGTGACTGCACATAAAATTATCCACAGTGAGGACAAACCTTACAAGTGCAAACTTTGTGGAAAGGGTTTTGCCCACAGAAATGTATACAAGAATCATAAAAAGGTGAATATGAACCCAGTATTCGAAATACAGTAAACTCCTGATAACTCGACTCTGGCTTAACGTGTCACTACCATTTAAGTCATCATTGCTATCAATGTCCTGGCCATGTTTACTTATGTATTTATGCATATGCCTAACTCGCCACTCCAGATAATTCGTCACTGAGCCCTGTTCCCTTGAACTGACGAGTTATAAGGAGTTTCCTGTATATAGTAAAATATACTTTATATATATAATATAAATGAGGTAGTGATTAACCATGCTTCTTGCTGCAAGATTTTTCTTAAAAAATAATGTACTACATGATTGCTAAACTTTCACTTGCTTACATCACCATGTTTGTGTAATCTGCACTCACTGGCATCACCCTTTCCACAGCACAAGGACCTGGGGAACATCTGCATATTGGTAAGTCATTAGTCCTTTTAGAGTCGAAGAAATAAATGGAAATGAAATTGCAAAAATGAGTGGGGGGGAGGGGGGGAATTGTGATATGATTGTCACTGGCTTTATTGTCATATCCTCCTGATAAAATTAGTCTGTGTCTGGCATTCCCCGCCTCCCTGACTTTGTCAGAATACTTGGGTCTGAAGTGTGGCCAACATTGATATTATTGGTCTGCAAACTGTAACCTGTCAATGTCAGTTCCCAACTTATCTCAACTTTTAAAGTATGATTTCAGGCCCGACCATTCTGCCATAATTTGGGGATGTTTTGGGGGGATGGGGGTTCAAAGGTACTGGCAAGATATTGACTGTAATGACAAGGTAACATGGCCAGTGATAATTAATTATCACATGTCACATTTTTCACCCATTTTTTAAAAATGAAAATACCATCGGGGAAGTTAAAGGTTAGGGTGATCTCAAGCTACAGTCAATGTATTCCAAATATATTGAATATTGTTACGTAGGTTTATGATGCCCTGCTGTTATTTAATCCCTTGTAACTCCATCGTGTCACTTTGTCTTCTGTATTTAATTCATTCAATTGCCCATCCCTTAAGTGCACTTCAAGTGAACAACATTGCATGAAGCAATAGGCAGCCCAGTTGATGCCCAGGTAACAATGAGTGAGACCCAGTGTACCAGAAGGCATGCCAGTTTACAATTCAGTGAGGTCTAAAAGTGGACATAATATATAAAGAATATCAATACTTAGAATCATAGAATCATAGAATTATACAGCACAGAAGGAGGCCATTCAGCCCGTGGTGTCTGTGCCCGATCTTTGAAACGAGCTATCAAATTCAATCCCACTCCCCCACTCTCTCCCCATAGCCCTGCAAACTTGTCCTCCCCAAATAATTACCTATTACTTAGTGTACATTGGTGTACATTGTGGCAGACTTAATGCAAGGAGGTCTTGAAACAGGATGCAGGTTAGTCTCAGAGACGATATTTTTGGTGGCATTCGTTATCTTCTGGATTGTGCCATTTATCGGTACAGTCTTCCTTGCTGCCTTATTGGACAATAACAAGGCCTTGGCAGATGCGTGACTTAAAACAATATGATTGCCAATTTCTTGTGTTGTTAAGCATAGTGAAAATGTTCCAAAAATTATATACAGGGATTATAAGGGATGTGGTCGGAATTGTCAATTGTGGTCTGCGCAGTGAGAGTTGCTGAATCTCTTGCAATGTCTTGGAGACTAGCCTCCCGATTTTAAATCTGCCCTTCCTGTCTGCTGCTGCAACATTGAATTCCGAGTCTCCCTTTGCTCATTCATGCCTCCTTTAATGTTCATAATGGACCTCTGATTTGTTTGCTAATCGCACCAGATCTGATGTCTGTCTGGAACACTTAATGTTGCAAACTCCAGACTTCCACATTGGCCCGGACCCACCTCAGACCATATTTCTCAGATAAGAGCTGCCTAAGCACTCAATGGGAATATTATTTCTGCTTATAGTAATCATTTTTGTATTTGGTACAGTGCCTTAGCTTGTCATATCATATTAGAATGCTATGGCATATCAAAGCCCTTCACAGGATTTCACTGTAAAGTACAGTGACTGTGTATTTGTAGGTGAAAGAGGTAGCCAAGTTGCATACAGCAATGTCCCACAAACACGCATGAAACAAATGACTAATTTTATTCAGGGAATTGTTGGCCAGGACACTCACTTCTCTTTTCAAGTAGTGCCAAGGGATGTTTAACATTCACCTGAACAGGTTGAAGTGACTTTGGTTTAACGTCTCTTCTGAAGGACAGCACCTCCGACAATGTACAGCACGGTATTGCAGTGTCAGGATGTCAGTGCTAGAGAGAGAAGTGCAGTTCAACTTTTGCTACCCAGCATATCAGCTTCCTGCCCTCTCAGGTTAAATGAATACAGTGTAAAGGGCTCCATTCTTTGCTCCGACAGTGATCTTTCAGCTCCTCCTTGGAAGAGCATGATTAGTGAATAAATTTAAATTGTTTCTAGTTTTTACTAACTATTCTTGTGACTTCTCTGAGAGATGCTGTGAATGATATGTAACTTTGTGTTGAATCAAGGAAGAGATTTGTGCTGTAGGCCTGTGGCCATTAGGAATGGGAAGCTATTCATAGGACTATGTAACCACAAAAGTACTGATGTATTTTTTTGCTCCTTCACATGTATGTCACCCTTGTAAAAGGCCTTAGGATGTCCTGCAACATGAAAGGTGCTATATAGATTTGTATTGTATTGTTAGCATTTGCCAATCCAAAAATAACCACATAGGGAAAAATATGATTTGATTCAGACAGTGATCTAGAGTCATCCCAAGCCTCATCATTTCATCATATGTCTTTAGACAATTATTTCCATGGTAGAAAAAACTTACTTTGATGTTTTACAAGTCCAAGTTCATTGTTGATTCCCAGAAGTTCTTAATATCAAATGCTTAATCCAGGTTCTCATATAAAGGGAATTGCCTAAGAGGCAAGTCCACCTCCAGCATGCAGAGTGATGTTCAGTACAAGTGAAAGGTATTATAAAAAGAGAAGTTGTTTTAGGCTGGAGATCTCCTGTTTATTGCTTTTTAATGCAATCGACCTTGCAGCTTAATCCAGGAACTCAGATAGGATTCACAGAAAACTTTTCTGATGTATCCATACTTTATATCCCACCTCTCCGACCTGCTGACTCCCCAGTTCACTACCCCGTGCCTCTGCTTGACTGGCTCCGGCCTCTTCCTTGTCCTTTGTATCTTCCATTCCACCATTGGCTGCAATGGCTGCATTTTCAAGTTCAGTGTCCTTGCCCAAAATCCACGCACACCCTTTCCAGCAGAATTGTCTCTGGATAGTGATCTGAAGTGGGCTCACTGGCTGAGTTATATTTTTTCTCCCATTCTGAATCCCAGAATGCTGAGACCAATTTAGAATCTGACTGAGATCAAATTTGAACCTGTAACCTATCGGGGCTGATCCTACATCAGGGGTGTCTTACCCCATGAACCAACAGAGAAACATTTCCCATTTCCCAAATAACAGCATTAGTGGTTAAAACACTCGCCTCACAAGTGAGAGGACCTTGGTTTGATTCCCGGGCAGGACGAAACGTTAAGCAAGTTTCCTCACTCCACACACCTCTGTTTGCCAAACAGTAAGTAGGAATCCATTGTTAGTTGATTGGTGGGTCGCTTTTCTGGGGTTAATAATCCCTTAAAATAAATTGTTCACTCAATCCACGACTGTTTGTGGGGTATTGCTTCATGCAATTGGCTGCCGTGTTTCGCCCACAAAATACAGTCAGTTCACTTTACAGTATATTCTGGGAAGTGCTTTGAGACATCCAGAAGATGTGATGCAAGGATTATTATTATTATTATACCTCCATGAATGAGAATAGTTTGGTGTAGGTGCTGCAATCTTAACATATATGGGGCTTTGCTTGAAGAGGGATGAAAGAGATCAAAGTCCTTTTTGTTTCTTGTCTACACAATCCCCAAAAATCTGACTCTTTTATGATCCCTAGATATTGATGTGTAGTATGTGAAAACACAACATCTATGACAAATTTATCATGCGTCTTCCAATGAGTACATTCAGTACCTTTCCTTGAGCCATACTTTGAGTCATTGATGACTATATCTCCCTTTGTTCATAATGTAGAAGAGAGCGTGCCATCAGCAACAACAACTTGCATTGATATAGCGCCCTTCACACGGGGTAGCATCCCAGCATGACATCATCAGGATATAGAAGGTCTGTAATCCTATTACTAAATTCTAGACCAGAAATTCCAAGACCATACCCGACAATGCCATTTACACATCCACTTAGCTCAGTTGGTAACACTCTTGGGAACAAGTTCATATAGTCTAGGCTGAATATAGTGCAGTGCTGGGGGAGACACTGCATTTTTGGAATTGTTGTCTATCAGATGAGTCACTAATCCAATGTCTCATTTGTCTGTTTAGGTGGACGTTAATGATCCTATAGAGTTAGTCGAAAAGAGAAGGGAGTTTCTCCCAATTTCCTGGCCAACAATCCTACAACCACAATTGATCATTCACCCATGGGTGTCTGTGGGATATTGGCTGCTGCATTTGCCTACAACAATAAAGCACTCCTGTCGTGAAAGGCACTATATCAAATGCAAGGATTATTATTATTATTATCAAGAAAGGATGAGTCACTGTTGGTAACCTTGCTTCACTCTCTTTCTCATGGGATGTGTTTGGTGAGGGACCATCAAACCATTCATGGATCTGGAAGTTAGAGTACACATTCCAAATGAGATCAAGGATTCAATCATGACTTCTAATTTCTTTAGAGTAGCATGAGGTGGTAGACCTGGAAAGGAATGTAAATGGTTTCCCCCTGCAAACCTTACAGTGTTCTGCAAAGCCACAGCCTGTTGCATTCTTTCCTTTGGTGAACAAAAGGTTATTGGTCCCTGACCACACTAATGCATGTAATATACATTCTGTAACAGCACTGCATAATCCTTAAGGGATCAAGAAACAAAGTCAGGCTCCATGTAACAACCCAAACCCAAAGCAAAATTCTCATCTCAGCGGGATCTCAGCTGGATCTCTTTGATGGAACCAAAAGGCAGAATGTTAAAATAATCTGTATTGTTGGAAGCCCATTGTGATGCAAGATGTTCAATTTGTACCTTTTAGGATTTTATTTTAGTATATTTTACATGTTTATAATTTCAGGCCACAACTTTGTGAAAACATTCCTAGCTTTTTTGTATTTGACCTACATTTTACAACAGTACAAATGTACAGTTATACAGTGCTGTTCACTCCAGGAGAATGTCCCAAGGGGCTTTGCAATACAGGCTTGGCACCCAAGTTGGGCGTGACTGCTGAGAGAGGTGGGGAGGAGAAAGATGACCGAAAGTGAGTCAAAGAGGGGGGCATGAGACAGAGCTTGAACGAGTTGAGGAAGGGAATCAGTCTCCAAAGGGAGCAATGATGTTTTG